TAGCGATCCGTTTAGCAGTTTAGGCAACATATTAACAAACATCCATTGATGGCTTTTCCATCGTTGTCATTTGTGCATTCGAATTTTGACATTTACAATTAAAAAGTTTACAAATGCAAACAATAGAATAACGTCTTTATAATGTCCTTATAATGTACTAGCTGTTGCGAGCGACTTCATCCCCATGAAATTAAAAAAATATAGCCTACTAGCTTTCGCCCGCGACTCCGTCCGCGAGGAATTATAAAAACAAAAGTGAGCCTACGTGTTCTTCAGATTATGTTCTACATGCCAAATTTAATCCAGATCCGTTCAGCCGTTTAGGCTACAAACTCTAACAAACATCCATCCATCCATCCATGTAAACTTTCGCATTTATAATATTAGTATGATGTTACTCACAGATAATTTACCTTTTTTAACTTTGAAAGGATTTTAAAATTGTCCCAGTAGTTTTTGAGTTATTTCAGTACATACAAAAATACAAATCTTTCCTCTTCATAATAGTACAGAGAGACTGCTTGGGAACAATTAGTTTTCTACTAATCACTAAATTAATTATTATTTTTCTCATATTGTCTGTTTTTATCAAAGAGAATGTAAATGATGCCAATATCAATACAATTTTCACGGCGGAGAACTTCTATATTTAAATGCATCGTTATTTTGTTAAAATAAAAACGTCCCTCGCGTCTGGAGAATGGTCCAGATATTTCCCGAACGTCCGCTTTATGGGATCAGCTGTGTTTAGTGATGTGCATTGGTCTAAATCGATATATCGATATTAATAATATTTTATTTAAAAAAACGTGCTATATATAACAAGGACAAGATTAAAATTCGATCCAAGAAGGAAGAGATGACGGAGATTACTGAAGATAAATTAACCTGGCGGTTTAAACTTTTTTTTTATCTATACTAATATTATAAAGAGGAAAGATTAGTATTTTTGTATTTTCGTATGTATTGAATTAACTCAAAAACTACTGGGCCGATTTTAAAAATATACCGTTAGAAAGGTAATTTGTTTGTAAGTAACATGGGCCATATTATTTTATTTCACGCGGGTAAATTCGCGGGCAACAGCTAATTATAAATAAACCAAAAATTGCCTACGTCGAAGGACGGTACACTCTAGCTTCGTAAGTACCGATTTGTACTGTTGCCCTGAACCTACGGGAGTAGGATAAGGAGTAGAAGATAGTGATGGTAAGGATTCGATCACAATACTCAAGTACATAATGCGGGTTGATAGTAGAAATTCACCATCTCATCTACCTTATCCTATTCCCGTAGGGTCGGCGCACCAGGTTTTCGGCCTCCAACTAACTCTATCATCCGTCTTCTCAGTCATCACTCCCTTCTTGATCATGTCACCTTTCACACAATCCATACATCTCTTTCTAGGTCTACCTCTACCGGTGTACCTACACATTCATAACTAACATGCGATTCATCCCTTCTGATAACATGCCCATACCACGCTAACCTTTTAGTATAGTAGAAATATTGAAAGGAAAATTAGGATGTGTTCAGGAACATTGAAAGTTTGCTTTTGGAAGTGTGTCAAATCGAAATAAAAAGGTGTTGACGTCTGAGGACGCGATATTTAAAATCATTTAGACAACAGATATCTGTGAGTAGAGTAAAGAGTGTGGATATCCGACTAAAAATTAAAAAACTGCCGAGTCTCGCTTCTCCGTCTCTTTGAGTTGCGACGTTTTCCAGACTATCCTCTACATCTATGGCAAATTTTATCGAGAACCATCTAAAACTTCATATCATACTAGTTAATATTATAAATGCAAAAGTTTAGATGGATGGATGGATAGATGGATGTTTGTTAGAGTTTGTAGCCTAAACTGCTGAACGGATCTCGATGAAATTTGATATATATGTAGAGATTAGTCTGGAAGAACACAAAGGCTACTTACTTTTGTTTTTTTTATTCCACGCGGACGGAGTCGCGGGCGAGAGCTAGTTTATAATATTAGTAAGGTGTTTCAAATATAGTTAGATAGTTATCTATATTTATACAAACAGCACTCACTACGTCGAATCAAATCATATTTACTGTCCATCAACGCATCACGTCTTGTAAAGTAGGTCGTAGTATTTGGCACGAGATTTTGATCCATTGCGTATGAAATGTTTGTTGTTGATAGATTTGTGGAAGCGTATCGTCTAATGGCTACGCAGAGGAATTCCGAGATGTATATATAAAATAATTACGTAATTGAAATTATATTAACTATAAATTATTGTTTAAGCACCGCACCAGTGTGGTTGACTGAAACCTAGTCACTTAACTCATTGGCTGACGACACCATAATGTAACGCAGTTTGTCGTTTTTAAAACTTTTGTACGAATATAGATGTTTACATGTGCGGTGAGCGACGGTGGCTCAGTGGTTTAAGCACTGACTTGTAATCTACAGGTCTTGGGTTCGATTTTCGCTGTACCAATGTGATTTTGGATTTTTCGAATTTTCACACATATATTCATAATTTCATAAAATATCGTGACCAGCACATATCCGCGAAGAAATTCAAAGATAAGTGTGAAGTCAACCAACCAATATTTGGCCAGCATGGTTAATTATGGCCTAGTCACCTTTTACTTAGAGTAGGCTCCGAGCCTCTCAGTGGGGACGTATAGTGAGCTGGTGATGATATGTGCGGTTAGTAATTCGCTTTACTTTATTTAATAAGACGCTTTTAAAGTATTTGATAGTTTTTTACAATTCATTACACTAAATAATTACTATACGAAAGAATCATGGATGTAAATTCTTATGTCATTGTACAAAAATATCGACAATAAGTGCCAATATCGATACATCTGCGAACATCACTAGAACTTTCTCCCGCACGCGTCTCTATTTATAGTCAAGGCAAAGACCTTTGCAGCGCATTATTCACAATTTGTATGTACAAAGCTTTTGTTAAGTGTTTCAGAGTGCGCGTCATTCTCAGTGTTACACTTTTGTTCAATACTCTGTGAATTAAAAAGATAACCTTAAAACATAATGTTCTGTTGTACAGACAATGAAGGGGAAGTTAATGGATTTTATCTATGCATAATAATGAATGAACATGATTAGTCAAAAGCCACGTTAGACGCTAGCTAAGCTAGCTAATATTTTCACGTCTTATTTTTGTAAGGCTTAGCCTACTTTAGGTTTAGGTGTGGTATTAACGAGCATAAAGTATTTCAGCTATTTTATTAACTCGTATGACGTTGCTCAATTCCGTTTTACGTCTTAAAATAATTGACAGCGACCATCACTAAGAATTATTACAGCTATAAAACAACTTCCGACACCCACATCACTAAATACGTATTTACTGGAAGACGGGATATGTTTTTAATACGCAAATTAACTATTACTGATTAAAAAAATAATTTGCATCTTATTCCAATGGAATTAGAGCGAAAATCAATCAATATTTTCAACTGTAAACGCATAAATAATTTTGTTAAATTTGAAAGTACGTAAAACCGAACGTGGTCTGTTATAAATTTAATTCAAGATGGCGGATTGCATGTGTTGACATTGAACTTCGAAAATAACTAAACATCCGTATTTTTTATGTTCTGAAACCGTCAATTAAACAAGTAAACCGTTACATAGTTGTGTTTTAGGTAAAAAAACAAAAAAAAATTGCAAAAAAAACTACTCTAAACAGCACAATTCTCGTCCGAGGTAGGCACATATATTTATGCATTTACGCAACAATGACAAAGTTTTTAGGTTATTTTATAAAACTCCTATTATTAATCCAATTATAACTGACTAATTTGTCTTTAATTCTACATGATTAAAAATTTATAAAATTAGTTGCATCCAACGTTTCCAGAACATAGACGAAACGGGACATTTATAATTACTTGTTCCCCAAATAGCACATCCTTTCTTCCACAACATTCTCGACGAAGAGACGTTTTAATCATTTACCTGTCTGCCAACGGATGTCTTTATAACGGATATTTAAATGGCTTATTGGAATAATATTGTCGTTCAATAGAGCGTGCGCACAACTTTGACTAAACTATCGCACAACTGTTTTCGCGTCGCGCTTTTTTTTTGTGACTGAGTTGTCACTGTTTGCCTTGAAGAGGCATTGACAGATTCACCGGGCTTGAGGTGGCCGAGCGCAGATAGCGCTTAGCCTAAACCTCTTTATGAGTAACTAGGCTCGAGGACTCCCTCAGGAGCCTCGGCTCGGGCCTTAACTTCGTTATTATTATCGGATTGGGAGGCAACCGAGCTCTTAGATCGTTTCGGTGGTCGCTCCATGGAATGACTAAGTACAAGGGTCCCCGAGAGGGGACCTCGGCTTGGGCTGTTACTCAATACGCGTTTAGCATTCCGATTCAAGGGTGCCCGAGAGGGCCGAACCTCGGCTTGATCGGTTGCTGCTGATTACTATTAGTCGCGCTTTGATTCCTATGAGTTTATATGGAGGTGCGGACACTACTCGATTTTTAGTACAACTAAACAGTTGAATGGCTGCGAAACAATCGACAATCGCT